CGTCTGAATTTTTAACTGATGCAAATATGATCAATCTGGTTTTCTGTAGTGTGATCCGGTGAGATCCATGTAGCTTTATGTATGCGTTTGTGTGGGAATATTGTGCAGCCTATAACCATTTTGTTGAATACACATAAATTTGCAAAGAAAGTACATTGAACACCTGATAATAACTTACAGACAATGATTTGTTGTTTGGAAACTCAGAAACCATGTGTATATCCATATTCTCGACCATAAGTCATACTCTCAGTGTGTATTAGCTGAAGATGCTATACAGATTCTTATGTTATAGAAGGCTAAAAGAGATTAGGACGTGGCATATATTGGTTGAAAGTCTAGTAATTTAACTGTTCAACCACCACGTGACATAATTCACGATTCGTAACAACAAAAATATTACAAATATACTATACACTCATGTTATTTATCATTGTTTAGTATGATTTCTTTTGGTAAATATCAGGAGATTTAGTTTTTGCATACGATGGATTGAATTATTCTTTGAATTCAGAATTGATCTTGAAAATTGAAGATAGAGACGGCTTGTTAGCAATGAAATTTTACACGGCCGAATAAAACTGAACTAGAAGTAAAATCCGGTACTAGACCAATACTTAAATAAGTTCAGTACATTTTTATTTCTTATTTTTATCTTTAAGATAAATATCTTATTTTAAATAAACAATTACCGATCAGTCATATTATGCTTACACTAGTCAAATGATAAATAGTAATTAATTTTGTATAGTCCAGTTCTTAGTAGTCAACAAAGTAACAATGTACTCATCAGGCTGTCATTGGATATCATCATATTAAAAACTGAAAACAGTCAAATAGAACCCCTTGTCCTTTATTTTATGTTGATTGAAACTCATCAGCAATGCATATATTCTGCATTTACGAAATCGATGGACAGTGTGAAATTCAAACTAACAACTCAGATGTTATCATTTAGCAGTTCCAGATATCGTGTATATATGTGAGCTTGGGAAATTGGATAGAATGTAAATGTCACCAACTGTAAATAAATAAACTATTCTAGTGAACGAGAACACAATTGGGGAAAATCGAATGTGTCTGAACACAAAATTACAGAATATCTTAGTAAAACCTGAGAACCATACAGTAAATACTTCATTTACAAAATGTCAATCAATCGTTACAGACTCCATTGTTCTTTCGTTTCCGCACCAATCATTCTCTGTTCTCGTTCTCTTTTCTTTGATCTTGCACCATTCGAACTGGTTGTCTTCAATGTTCACACACTAGTGCAGACCGGACAACAGATAGGGCTGGCTATGTCTTTAGAAAATCTTAATATCGACGTTTGTTGTCTATCCGAGACCCGTATTCAAGACTCTGGTGAAGTACTACAAATTCGATCTCCATCTCTCGCTTCAAAAGGCTTGTTTTACGTGCGCTTATTCGGGGACCCTGTGGCATCTTCGTCTAGTCTTGCTGGCGTTGGTGTCGCACTAAGCGCTAGAGCTGAGACAGCACTAACCGATTGCATCCCCATTAACAGTCGGTTATGTGCTGTTAGATTAGAAAGTTCCATCAAAGTGAGAAGAAATCGGCGTGAGAAACGATGTCTTTTCGTCATCTCCGCCTATGCTCCGAAAGATTGCAGCCCGGATGCAATCAAGGATGAGTTTTACCACCAGTTAATGGTTCTTCTCCAGAAAGTGCGTTCGACAGATATTGTAGTACTAGCCGGAGACTTGAATGCTCAGGTCGGGCGTCTAGGCACAGAAGAGAGTCGTTTAGGTGGCCGATGGGGACTCGTTGGTCGCAGGTCAGATAACGAGGACCGTCTACTGCAACTTTGCACAGACCACAACCTGTTTCTGGCTAGCACTAACTTTCGGCACAGTCATCGCCGATGTGCCACCTGGCGTCCTCCCTCTGCATCTCAAGCCTGGACTCAGATTGATCACATCGCGATCAGCTACCGCTGGCGTGGTTGTGTACAAGACTGCCGCTCCTTTTGGAGTACCTATCTGGACTGTGATCATGCCCTGGTCTGCGCCAATCCTACCTTACTTTTCAGTGGCCAACGAAGTGATCATCACCAAACGATTGATGTCAGCAAATTGGTTGCAACTTTTGTTGCAAGTAAGTATCGAACCGAGCTAGTTTCTAGGCTAGCTACCATTCCACCGAAAAGTATAGATAAGCATTGGTTGCAGCATCATGACGCCATGAAAATGGCGTCGTCCATCGACGTCTTGGACGATGGGCAGAATTCTTCAAAGGGCAGTTCAACGGGCCTGCTGCTCCGGCAACATTGGTCAGACTGTCCTGCCCTCCGTGGCCGGTGACGACTGATCCACTAAATGAGGCGGAAGTTCGCAAGGAACTCCAACGCTTGAAGCGCTACAAATCACCGGGCCCAGATGACTTACCCCCGTCTCTTTTTAAAGATGGTGGTGACTTTCTGGCTAAGGAACTGACAAATTTGTTTACAAAGGTATGGGAACTAGAGAGAGTACCAACGTCATGGAATGAGTCGACAGTTGTCCCTATCTTTAATAAGGGTTCACGTCGTTCTTGTAACAAATATCGGGGGATAAGTCTACTTCCGATTGCATTCAAACTGTTGGCTTCAGTCATACTTCGTAGATTGTTCAAAACTCGAGAAAGCTTGACTCGTGAGTATTAGGCTGGTTTTAACTCTGGTCGCGGATGTATTGATCACATCTTCACCCTCCATTAAATTTTAGAACACCACTTTACTTATTACAGGTCAACAATCGTAGTGTTTCTTGACATCAGTACTGCGTCCGATTCGTTGAACGGGACTGTTCTATGGGATTGTCTAGTGAAGAAGGGTGTGCCTGAGTTTATTAACATTTCGAAAGCCCTATATACAAACACCTCAGGTAGAGTGAGAGCATACATTCACCTATCTCCATTGTTCTATTCAAGAATTGGGGTTAGTCAGGGTTGCCTAATCTCACCATTCCTCTCCAACTTCGCCATCAACGACGTTCTGGAAACAGCTCTAATGGATGTAGGTAATGGTGATGTGGATCTGTTGCCTGGAGAGAGACATTCCGACCTTGAGTATTGGGATTATATCGTCTTACTGTGCGACGATACCCAAGCTATTCAATCCACACTTAATCAGTTGACAATCAACGTCCGAAGTACGGTATGTGCTTTGCAACTTCGAAGTGCAAGGTAATTCTACAAAGCTGTCAGGACCCTGAACCTGCACTCACCCTGGATAGTGAGCAGATAGAAGTAGTTGAGAAGTTCTTGCATCGAGGTAGTTGTGTAAGTGCTAGTGGTGGCGTGAGAGATAAGATCGATTCACGTATGGTGAAATCCAGAGCGACTTATGCCAATCTGGGCCATCTTTGGCGCCTTCGTGATGTCGGTCTAGCTGTAAAAGGTCGGATCTACAACGCATCGGTGAGAGCAGTCCTGCTCTATGTTTGTGAAACCTGGCATCTCAGAGTTGAGGATGTTAGACGACTCTCTGTGTTTGATCACCGTTGTCGCCGAAGGACTGCTGAAATTTAGTGGCAACACATGTTAGTAATGTAGAGGTTCGGCATCGTGTGCTCGGGCTCAGAGACGATAATCCAATTGGTGTTACGATCTTGGAACATCGAATTCGGTGGCTTGGACATGTTCTCCGAATGTCGTCCCAGAGAATTCCTCGTTGTGCATTATTTGCCGACGTTGAGAGTGGTTGGAAAAAGCAGAGAGGTGGCCAGTATATGACATGGTATCGTGGTATAAAAGAAAACTACAAATGGCTGGCTTTTGTTGGTCCTTCACGACTCTCTGGCTGGGGTCCGAGAGATGGTGCAACACAGTGGCTAGAGACGTTACCAAATATGGTTCAGAATAAAAGCCAGTGTCTTCCTTAACTGGAAGAATTTTTCTGCTAGTACCTTCCCGTTTCCCCCATTATTATTATTATTATTATTATTATTATTATTATTATTATTATTATTATTATTATTATCATTACACTATCTTACACTAATCTGTAGTCGTTATTGCTTTTTTCTTATACGCACCTTACCTTCTTTTTTCTCTTCCCATTTTCATTGTTTTGTGTGGCGCATATATATTTGGTGCCCCTTTGTACCAATATTTATGTGTTCAAATAAATAAATAAATAATGATGTAAGAATAATGCAGTCTAGCACAGACAAATTTCAAATAACATAAATATTCATTCTAACCTAATCAATTTAGTTCATTAAAACTGATGGGCAACAAATATTGACCGCAAACCAAATATCGCTACATATTTTTGGAAATATATATATTTTAGTTGCTAAACTAGTTTCAAATAAAACCCAGGATAATAACAGGTCTGAATATAAAATAACAAAGATCAGGGAGATGGGGGGGGGAACGTAAATCAATTTGATTGTGCAAAATCAATATAATTTTATCAAGTTCTTTTTTAATATTCAACCAATTGCAGACATTTCTGCTTAAGAAACAATTGTCATCATAAAGATGTTTTTATTTTTATTTTTTTTAAAAAGGAGATTCAATTATCGTAGTAAGAAACAAATGCACATAATTGAACCATCGTGTAAGAGAACAAAAGAAAAGAAAGTGGGAAATGCAAAATCTACAAAAAAAAGATACGATAAGGATATTTACATAGAGATAATAAAATATTTAACTGAAATCATATACACATGAAAGAAAGCTAGAGAATATGAGTATAAGTATAAATTAATGTCAGAAAACAATCTATACAAACTAAACAGAAATATATCAATTAGTTACATAGTCACATGTAACGACAGATTATCAGTACAGATGTGTCTCCGCATAATAAATAGATTAATAAATAAGTTATATACAGTATACAATTGAAATATTAACTTCAACAGAACAGTTATGGAACGTGAAACATCTTTTTGCACCAAAATGAAAAAAAAACGACGGATTTACATATTTGTAAAACAAAAACAGAGTTATGTTTTCTACACTGATAATAATGTTACGAATATGTGAAATTAATGGACTGAAGAAGATTGGTCAAAAGGAAGGACACATATACCAACCCATCCCTCATGTGCAACTAATGAAGGTCCAGATGACCATTGCCAATCAGCGAAAGGATTAGAAGAAGTTGGGATGACAGAAGATAATGTGGAAGTACCAACATTACAGTTGACATTAACTGAAGCGGATGGAATAGATGGTTGATGACTAATTGGCTTAGGTTTTAACTTTTCTAACATCATGGTTTTCTGGAGGAGGGAGGAAAGAGTAAAAGGAAATCCGCGAGCGATAAGATACAACATATGGGAAACAAATAGGTACGTTAAACATTAAAAAAAATAACAACTATAATACACAAAGTACTCTCAGTTAGATGAAAATGGCATTTTTAAATTCATTCCCCAGGTGTACTTAGTTATGATGAGCTAAACTCTAGGCTTTAGAGTTAATAATACTATTCGGTTGCTGAAAAAAGTAGGTGGAGCGAAGTGTTCGAACATGGCGAATACTTGTAGTGGCTGGTACTATGTTAAGCCCAAACAGGTTATTCTAGCTTCTGGACAGACCAATCTATTTATTCTTCACAAGCCACATCTTGACCTTGTCACCAACACGCTTATTAATCCTGACTACTTTTTATGTGATCGTATGTGTGTTTATTGCTTACGCTATTAATTACACGCCTGTAACTTATTTTTTGTCTAAATATTGAGTCAGGCTTGGTTATATCGAGTTGACTCGCTTTCTCCACTGCGTGTCATTTTGTCCCACTTCGATTTATTCTCTTCACTTCGTTTACCTGATTGCCTGTGCAGATGATCAATAGGTGTACGGAACATTCGTATTCAAACCTCATTCTCGTATTTGACTTATCTTGTTCCGCCATTCTCTAACGCAAACTGAGTCGAGAATTATATGGCTGGCATGTATATTCCGATAACGATCACCACATGATCCAACTGGAGTCAGATACAGGGCTAACAGTGATCATATGGTGGCTTTAATATACATGTGAGCCATGATATAAAGCCAAAGGTTACCTAAGCATTGTTAACTTTCGAACATCATTTTCACTAGAAAACATCGTCCGTTGGGTTGGCCGGTGTTTGAGCATACATGACACATTTCCTAACTACCTTGGCTAGTGAGTTTTCGCTAACTCATCAATCGATTTGTTACTCTTATCTATTACTCTGCATCTAACCTCAGAATTGTTAACTCGATTGTACCAAAATACACGAGCAAGGCATCTATGATCGAATACTAGCAACCTGTGAATTTCTTGTATTTTAAAAGCCACATTTCACAGCCATAAAGTAGAGCGGAGCGAACTGCAGCTTAGTATACTCACTCTTGATTTGATAAATATCCTGCGTACGCCACAATTGATTCAAGTTGGCAAGCGGAGATCGAGCCTTCTGAATCCGTGCTGAGATTTCTTCAAAGTTGAAAACTATCAGGACTGATGAGACCCTTTAGTGACCCTTAATCTGATTCCAGTTCGTATGAATGATTGCTATCGAAATATACATATCGTCGATTCTTGTTTATAATTATCGACTCAATCCGCGTTAGTAAATAAAGGGATTAAATAAACCAAATACGGGAATGGATTTTTGAATGCGTATATTTTATACACTGAACAAACAATCAAAGCGAGCGGAGCAGGTTGGAGAAGGCAAGTGAGCCAACTCGATTTAATCAAGCGTTTATCAATATTTATAGCCAGAAAAAAATAAGCTACATACATGTGATGAGTAAGATAGAAAATGCATACGCATACGCTTATATGAAAACAGTCAAGGTTGACAGGCGAATAATTAACAAGGTTAAAAGGTAGCTTGATGAGGATGGAAACGTTGGTTTGTCCAGAAGCTAGAATAAGCTATGTGTGATCGACATAGGACTAGCCACTACAACTCCTAAGGTAAGTGAAGTAGTCGACATGCTCCATTCAGACGTTGATGCAAACTAGTCCTGAGATAAAATTTTGCATCTGAAAGGAGAGGATCGCATCTCAAACGCGATTGTATTGTCCCTTAAGGTGGTCAAAAGACCACATTTTGTAAGCATCTCCATCAAATAGAACTATGTCACCAGAGAATTCTACGTTAACAAATGAATTTCCGAGTAGATGAACTATTGGAAAGTCAGACGACGAGAGCGCTATCTTTAAGTGTCGATGAAGAAGGTAAATAAAAATGGAGAAGGTGGACAGCTCTGATGAACACCATTTGAGGTTGACAATTCTGATGACATTTACCTCATAAACTCCAACTTGATCAGTAATGTTCAGGTATTAGTACTATTTATTTATTTGAAAACATAGATACTGGTACAATGGGGTACCAGATACATATGCGTTACATAAATCTCATTTGGTTTGTGTGAAGATTGTGATACTGCCCGTATGCCTAAACCGAAGCATGTGGTTTTCTTAAGGGGCCACACCCGGAGCCTTAGACCTGAAGGTCTGATCCACAAAGCAGTGGAGCATCGTAAGGAGATGCAGTCCCATGGTAACCGGTGACCAACAATTGGTTCATACGCCGTTTGTTCCCTCAGTGTACTGGAGTCCATGTGCACCATTGGTTTAGAATCAGGGTTTTCCAACTCCCTTAGATGGACTTTCCGTGTCCACCAACCCGGTCGAAGCGCCGGACATTCGCTTTTCGTCCTCTCAATTTCGTAAACAACACCCCTGCCACGAGAAGTATTATTTTAACACATAGATACTGGTACAATGGGGTACCAGATACATAAGCGCCACACAAATATCATTCGATACGTGTGAGGGCTGTGATACTGCCCGGGTGCCCAAACCGAAGCAGGTGGTTACCTTAGGGGGCCACACCCCGAGCCTTTGACCTAAAGGTCTGACCCACAAGGCAGTGGAGTATCGTAAGGAGATGCAGTCCCATGGTAGCCGGTGACCAACGATTGGTTCATAACCATTTGTTCCCGCAGGATACTGGAGCCCGTGTGCACCATCAGTTTGGGATCCGGTTAAAGCGCCGGACATTCGCTTTTCGTCCTCTCATTTTTTTAAATAACACCCCCGCCACGAGAGGGCAGTGAGTGGAACTTCTTTGGCAGAGGATATATACGCGTGGAAATGTGAAAGCATTTCGGGAGGGGAAGCGGGCTCTCCCCATTCTCGACCGTACCAGGGCATTTGAGAGCAAGGTTGATGTACTTGGTTGGTACGCCTTTCAATGAAAAACACTGTCGTAAAACCTCTAAATCAATAAAGTCAAGCACTTCTTTTATGTCTATCTGTGTGTATGAAGATAATTGCAAAATAAATATAAGTGGGGAAATTTTTGATAGGGCTGTGAATTTTCATGGACTATGATGGCTGAAATATGTGGTATACAAGCATCACGTAATGTTTGTCAACATAAAAATAGAATAATATGGCTATAGTTTATAAAGTTAATGAGTAATGAATCGAGTCTTTCTGAGACAAAGTTTCTGGTTATGTTCCACCAAGTAATCAAACCAATAGTTGGAGACCTTATATGTGGCATGGCTTCTTTCAAGCCTGGAAACGCAAACAAATTAGCACACTAACTGAAGTCAAAAAGTTTTCATTTTACAAGATCAAAGGCACATCAATCTTATACCCTTCGAAATACTTCTCATTTTCATAATTAAAGTTTCCCCGTTATCTCAGTTTCTGCTACACAAAACAACCATCGAAGTCTTCATAATCATAAGCTTCATAATTCTACCTTCTTGCTAGGCCAGACCAAAACATGGCACAAAACCATGAAGTTACTGACAAGTGGATTGAGCCATGTTAGTAAGTGTAGACTACCTGATTGGGATCGCGAGATGATAGCAACCGATGGTTAGAGGCCTTGAATGACATGACTCAAAAAGGTTTGCAATGGTTCAGGTGCATCCACTCTGTGTTCTCCCAAATTCTAATCTACTGAATCCTTCATGTCCCTTTTTTCCCTTTCCAAATTTATTTCACTGGATTACACTCCTTGAATAATATCTTCAAACCCTATTCTTTCCGATTACTGCTTATACTTTTACTACGTCTACCACTATGGGATTTAAATCGACAATTGTATTTGTGTGTTAATGTGGTATGGTAACTCGAACTGATGTACGTACGTACGTACAAAGTTCTACGTTGTTACTGACTGACTGACCTTCTTGCTAGGTTTGCGCGAACATGCAATTTTTCAGAAATCCGTTAGTTAACGAACTATCCAGCGATCAAAAACACAGAAAGCCATAAACAATCAGTGTTTTTTCATCAAAAATTCGTTCTTGAGTCGCATTATCTTTGCATTCTTTAGGTACCTTACTGAAACCCTTAGCCTGTTTGGAAAGAGAATTTTTTAAAGAGTTATCGCGATGAACATCCTTTAACATGTTATGCACTTTCTGGATTTTCCTAAATTTTCACCAAAAAAGCTCAATAGCTAAGTTGTATTGGTTTGCGGAGATTGCTGAGTTTCAATTGAATTATGAACCGACCAATTTTAGACCACCATTGAAAACCTGGAAGCACTGATTTCAACAATACCAACAAAACAAATAATTAAATTGTATTTACAAAAAATTTAAGCAACTTTTACCCCATTTTGTGTTGTTCTAACAAATGTAACCGCTTCAGTTGAGTTGCATGAAGAAATAGACTCAAAATCAGATTGTACAGAACATGGATGATGATTAAAGGAAACACCATCATCATTATTATCGTCATCATCACCATCAACATGATCGCTACAATTATCAGAAATCTTAGGTTTGTTCAATAAATTAGATAATGTATTAAATTTTGATTGTAAAACAGTACTTGATAATTCATAGGGATTTTGTTTAATAGGAGATTTGAAACATTCAACTGTTCGTAGATGAGTACTACCATCATAACCACCTAAGTAGAAAAAAGTCTTCTGATTAAAATGAAACTATTTTATTGACTTTTATTAAAATATTCTAGATAAAATAGTGGCTCATAAGATAAATAACAAATTGATGAATAGACTCATCGTCATGATTCAATTGGTTAAAAGTTGAATAGGTAAAGTACACAATATATAATGAAATTTTACCACAGATGATTAAAATGAATATTTGTTTATTCCGACAGTTATAAAAATTGATAATGGAGACTTGGAAATAACTATAAACAACAAACTTCTTTCATTTTACCATAGAGTTTGTCGAGATTATTGGATTTTATGGTTTACATCAAGGATCGATATTAGTTACGTAATGATTGAGAACCAATAAAAGCTGGACAGTTGTTTTAAGCTAGTATGGCATTCTACAACAGTGAACATCTATGTGTCCACCAGGGATTGAATTCGAAGACTGTAGACCACTAGATGCTGACGCACTAATCTAAATGTTAAGACCCAACAGCAAGACCTGAAGGACCTAGGTTATATCTTTGATGGGGTTGTGGGTGTTTACTATTGAAACGTCTCATACTAGGATGAGACAGTCGCCCATTATTTACTCGTTCTCAAAAATTGTCGAATTAATGTCAGTTTATGATGTAAGCTGTTGAATTTCCCCGTTTACTGGAAAAGAAGTTAGAAAATTTTTTACTTCTGCTAGCTTTTGCGTATACCATACACTGTTTTCATTCACTGATTTCATTTTCTTCTTTTGAAATATACTTATTAACATTCACTTATTTCACCAAAATTGATATTTTACTTTGGTCTTCCCTTTTTCATTGCATTCATTTCTCTTCTCGATATTCTAATATGAAATAAAATAACCCGTACCTATTCCTATTTGCCCTGAATCCTACTTCTATGTTCATGACTCATGACTGACTGGGTAACATCCCATGAAGTAAATAACTTTCTACCATATGAAGACAATTTTCTACAACTGTAAACACATCCAACACGTTAAAATAACGAACAGTAATACGTTGGCCACAAAAAAAGAAACTATTTCAATGGTGTTTCATCATTGATATTAACCAATAACTTGATAACCATGAACAGGTATACGCACTCACTTTTGAGTATAACTTAATGCGTGGTACTGCTACTTGAACGATGATGTAAATGACTGAAAGTCAACTGCCTAACCACTGAATCATAGATCGGAGCACATATGAACTAAAAGTCGCTTACACTCACATACGTTGTCACCAACAGCAACAACGTATCACCAGCTATGATATTATACTCAAGCCATCAAAAAGACATGACTCACCAATTGCATACAAACAACCTGCAGTTACAGCCAATCCGACTCGAGAACGAGGGACTGACAAAGATGAAATTTCAGTCCATTGTCCATGTAAACCATTACGATCTGGACCAGTTGTAGGATCGAACATTTCAACACTTTGTAGAAATGAAGCACCATCATAACCACCGGCAACAATTATACGATCACGAAAAGCAGTTGCGCCATGTCGACATCGCCGATGTAACATGTTAGCTACTGAATACCATACATTAGTAGGACTTTGCTGAATACCATTATTCTGATGATCAGTTTCAAAACGAGAGGATGGTGAAAGTGTTTTAGGTAAATCTCCACCTTTTTCATAGCATTCTACTGTTGAAAAAACAGCTAAACCATTGTGCCCACCAATAGCATAAAGACGACCATTGAGAGCAACAAGACCACCAGCGGATCTGGGCTCATTCAAGCTTGATATTAACTTCCATCTAAAGAAAATAAACCAATCAAATAAAAAACTTAAAGAATTAACGTCATAATATAAATGAGACTATTTTATGCAAAGCATTCGCTCGATAGTAAATAAATTACAGTTTTTAAAGTACTTAATGCTCCTAAGGTTGAATTCTTTAAAAACTGAATGTCTAACCTAACAATTACTGATAGGTACTAAGTTTCGGTTCGTAAGGACTCCTACTAATCAAAATCGAACAGATTCAATGTACTACCGAACAATATCCATTACCATTGATTATTATATTTTTAGTTTGCATGTTAAACAGTTAATCTCCATGGTCCTGTTTTAGGCTGAGTCGTTTACAGTAAAAACCAGTCTACTAATATTTTTTTAAAGTCACAAAGCAAAATGACACAAATATCAGTCTCAGGGGAATCATATAATATTTGGAAGTTATAGACGCGATTTATCGATAACGGATAATAAACGAGAAATAAGGATCCATAACTTCCTGTGCACTGGAAATTAATTATGGAAAACCAAGTTGTTTGTTGCATCATAGTGATAATTGTGCATTTTTTTAACAACTCATTTACCAGGTATAGATTTATGTACTTGAGTTCGAGTTAAACAAAGTTTAAAGGTTAGTGATACTATTCGGTTGCCTAAACTAAAATAGATGAAGCTGGGATTCAAACCTGTGATTTAGTGGCCGAACGTTGAACACCATAACTATTTAGCCACCTCCTTACAGCTCTTCAGTATAGATAACAAGTTTGAACACCATGATTAATGTAATTACTTCAACTTGATCAAATATACTCATAATTAAGTCTAAATCCTGAGATATAATTTTTATTTTTCTTTAAAAATTGCTTACGTATCTTGTTCTGGAATATACATCTCACATGTACGTAAAGATGTTTGACCATCAAAACCACCGCAAACATACAAACATCCATCATAAGCAGCAGCTCCTGCAGCACTACGTCGACAAATCATTGAAGCAACGGTTGCCCATTTTCCAGTTTTTGGATTATATACTTCAGTTGTACGTAAGCGAGAATTTCCATCAAAACCTCCAATAGCGTATAACAGTCCTAGAAATAAGTAAAAGACAATAATTGCTCTTTAATTATAATCCTAAAAAACATTTTATATACTGCTTTATGGAAGAGCAGCAGATCAGCGATTTAGACACTTCAAGAACTCAAGCATTAGTGACAGATCTGAATTACTATTTACTTAGAAATTTGGAGAAATGCATAATTTACCCATATGGATTCAACAGCCATTACACTAACCGCTGTTCCCTCCTACAGACTCCAACACAGATCCTCAAGAATAAATTTCCTTTCGAGGTGCAGGCAACCGGGAAACGACATCTGTTCTTAATTCTTTTCTCATCTGGACCATGTCTAACTGAAAAAGGGTACTAATACATCGAATTCTATTGTAAGTAATTACAAGATTTATTCATTGTTGCCTGAAACCACTGCAACACATAAACCCGTATGGTATGGCTTCCTACATTTGTACACTCATATGATTATCATATGTCACTAACATTTGAAATCTAACCATTCAAAAACTTAATCTTTCGACTAATTTCTTAAGTATTCAAACTAAAAGAAGATCATTTAAATTGCTAAGGGAGAGACAATGAATTTTAATAGATACATAAAACAGAGAACCCATATTAGTGTAGGTGGGACTGACGATATTACGAACCGAATGACTTAAACATGAATGGAAAACAATTTAATAATGAAGATATCCCGCTTTTATAGATGTAGGTTTGATAGCTATAATTACTTGTCCAAGTAAAATGTTTTCAGGATTTTTAGCCTAAAATGCTTCAGATTACAGATATGGAGAGATCGTAACTTTAATTTCTACAGAAGGGGAGAAAGAATACTGGCAATTAGATTTCAACTACACAAATATTTGTTAAGTGTCTTGGTAATTAAATAAAAATCAAACAAAAAAGAAATCCCTTTTACTAAATGTAAACGGATAGGTTGATATTATATGGCTGTGGCTTATCTGTTGAAGGACTTGAAAATTTCAATGAGTATTCTGAAGTTTCGCACAGTGTTCCGATTACAAATGTTTTGACTGAAAATTTTCACATAAAACATGTGGCTTGTAGTCCGCCATATAAATTAATAAACTATTAAGTTACGCTTTTATGCTACATTTGAAGTTGAACACCTAAGGTTGAAGTTTCAAAGAGTATAAGAATCATCAAGATTATGGATACATAGTTTGCAGTGATAACAACATCAAAATTTAGGTTCAACGACTTCATTCTATTATCTAACTATTCAGCATAAAAAACTCGGTATTTAAGCTTACCATTCAAAGCAACCACACCAATACGACTACGCTTAGATATCATACTTTCTGATAATTCCCAACGACCAAGTGAGGGATGATAAGTCTCCACAATCCCATGACATTCTAGATCTGTATTCCAACCTCCAACAGCATAAATAACACCGAAAATATCTTGACATTTTCTAGGTCGACAATTAAAGAATTCCGACATCTTCCATGACATAAGAAGTACATCACGTACTTCATCTAGAATATCTCTGCAAAAGTAAAGTTTAAAAAAGTCTAAATAAGAAAAAAAATTTGTCATTAGTGTAGCAGAGACAAAACCTGATTGAAACTAGTGTTCAGAAATTTCTGAAATGAATCAATTATTTTCACTGTTTAAATATAGTTTCATAAGATATTGATGGTCAGTCTTGAACGCTATATCTGGAAACAGATGTACAGATGCACAAGTCGATATATTTAACGTTGAAACGGTAACAAGTTAAAAAGATAAACAGCGGAGTTGCAGAGATACGAGCAGTTAAAATATCGAGAAAAACAAATCAATATATAATTCAAAACCAACATGGCCTTTAAGAGTAGAAGACACCCGTAAGCTACTAGTATTTGACTGACTGACTGATGTCTAATGAAAATGGGTATCGGTGACTTCACGACTGATTTTGACCTAGGTCATCTAATGTCTCCAACCATTAGTTGTAACTATTATGTTATATAATGGCCACAGATCTATTCTAACAGTCAGGTCTTACTTGACTGGAGAATTAATGACCTACAAGTTGACTTCATCCGATCACCTATAACATTTTATTATGTTTATTTTGTGTTCGTACTCGGTACATAAACATGTTACTTCATCTCTTTGAAAACCCTATCTTCCAGCCAGTGATTCTGTTTGTGATTTGTAATCATTCGGGAGGCTTGGATCAATAATACAGAATCGTGAGCAGCCACCACTCAACCATACCATATCATTGTAATTTATCTATAGATTAGTACTCAATACACTTACTTCAATAATAGAAAATTTAGTCTTATCACTCATTGAAAGCTCCCAAAACACAAGCAATCTTCAAGTAAGAATCTTGGTTTAAAAGTCAGAAACTTTAAAACCAGATGAAATATCTCGGTCTGGCCACTAATCGTCTTTTTCTATTACTTGAGTACTGGTTAGGACACGATGTAGTAGTAAGTAGTGGCTGGGCATGTACAACGTATGTCCTAAATATCAAGGTTTATGAAGACCCACAACTTTATGATTCTAGGAATATGGAACCTCAATTAACTTCAAATGTCCGAGATTCAAAGTATCGACACTATCACAATTACGCACCAGTTTCTTATCCAGAGCTTACAGACGTTAGGCTTTTGAGATTTTTAAGTAGCTAGTTTACAATTCATTAGGAATAAACACATGAATATACGGATCGAAGAAATTTTCCAGCAAATATCCGATGTATTTAAGGTGAAGTGAAGTAATGGATTAATCACCCAATATTCATCTACCAAGTTTCATATGCTTAGATGCGATTCCAGATGATACAATTCGGGCAGCTTAGTATTTTTAGTTTTTAGAAAGGAATTAAGAATCAATTCGTAAACACATGACTATTAACGTAACTACTTGATATAACTGTTTATTATTATTTGAAACATTTTCGTCTATAGAATAACTTACCTACAACGAATGTCCTTTCGAATAAGATCATGCCGCGAAATAACTGAGAAAATGTAGCTAACTGGAATTAGAGGTAGTCTGATTCGTCTAAGAAGGCATGGAAGAAAGGCAGTGCGGGATTTGCTATTGAATATTTGTGTAGAACAATGACAACTATGAAAATGATGTGTAGAATGTAAAGAACCATTACAACACGAATTTCGATGACCAATCTCACTTGAAACAGATGGTTTTATCGAATGCACATTACTATCATAATATTCAGGTAGCTCAATTACGTTAACAGACTCTGATATAACAGAGTTCGTCTCAGTATCAGAATTGGATTTTGTTTCAAATTCAACCCAAGACATAATTATATGAAACAAGCGTTCTTCACTGCTGACATTCAGTTCATCTGACTCCAGTAATTCCATCAATTCGCATCCTTCAAGGTTAAAAAATGAAGTTGTGCGTGCGATATCTTCGAAATTTTTGTAGATATATGCCTCACAAGCAGATACCAAGTCTGTACATAGATAGCTTTGGGCGAGATTTCTTATCGGTAAGACTATGTCGACAGTCAATCTGTGAAAAAAACATCCAAACAACATCACTGAACTCTATAAAAAGAGAGCACAAGAGGTCAGTGCAGTAAAAAGTCAAATCAGACTTGAGGTTATTAACCCTTTCTTCTAATAATATACGACGCACAAACATACAAAAACTACTGTGAATTAGTGGTCTCAAGATGTGAAACACGTATAGTTCGGAAATATCTTAATTATGAAATCTTAGAGAACGATTACTATAAAAAAAAATTGGCCAAAAACAACGTCATAATAACTAATATAACAGACATCTAATCTCTTTTACCAAGCAAGATGTACACTTTAAAACCCTTTACATTGATATTATATACTAGTCAGTCAGCTACAACGTAGGACCAGGCACATATGTGCATCGGTCCAGGTTGCCATACCGCATCAGCACAACAAGATTCATAGCAGTGGTTAGGTCATTATATACTAGTTAATCAAGCGAAGATAACTTAGGACCTGGTATAAATATATATCGATCGAAGCTAACAAACTCCACATTAGCACAGAGACAAGGCATCAGAAAAATGTAAACAAACTAACAGCGAAGAATAATAGCAGAGTAAAAGAACAGGTCAAAATAGACAAGCGGGAGACTGAATAACAAATTAGGGGACTTACAACATTCAGTTGGAGGACAAACTAGAACTAGCAAATCATTCAACAGTGAATGTAAGCACTTTTTATTGCTATCAATATTATGACAACCGTGTTTAGTTCAGTACATTTGTCAAAAGTTTCTACCCTAACTGTCACCGAACCTTCACAATTATTAAGTTTAACTATACTTCACCGATGTGACACACACATCCAATGAACAACCATATTATTCTTTCATAAATCTTCGTATAGTAATGTTTATATTGTTTAGCCCATTTAAGAACTTTAAAATGAGACGGAAATAAGTGGTTCTACTGGCTTTCTTTTACATCAATAGACTGTACATTTTTCACCATAAAGCCCGACTACATTGCAAGAAAAGTGGTTGCAGCAGTAATGTTTGAGATTAACACATTAAAATATATTATGAAATAAGATCAATTCTCCGATTCACAGAATTGACCTTTAAGAATCAACATAGATTTTAGAAAGTCATCGAAATGCCATGCAATATTTCCTCCCATGAGAAAAAATTAATGAGCGAAAATTCACTAGTTGGTAGTTTGGTCGAGCAGTCTAAAAAGCAAAGCCCGAAGTGTAAAATACTTATCTATCGATGGACAACGTTTAAGACTTTATGTCTGCTCATATTTATTGATTACACCCTATTAAACTCACCTTTCACTGATATATCTGCAACATATGTTACGAACATTATTAAGCTGTAAAAAATTGGCACCGATTAAAATTGATTGAACATTACGAGGGTTGATTTGGACTAAGCCAGTATAAGCATAACCAATGAACGCTTCTAAAGCACTGGATACTAATAAGAGATAAAAAATTTACCAAGCGTCAACTCCGTGAATGGTGACCTCGCTTTTAGTAGATTCTGCCATGTTACTTAGAAACATTCCATTGAAGAATGGTATAGTGGCGGCCAATACAATCTTGTGTGCAGTGAAGCGATTATTATCCGCCTAATAATCAAACAAATAACTGTTACAACTCACAATCAAAGTGACGTCGCATAGTTTTCCGTCTCTTCGCATACAATCTAAAGCAGTGAAACCAATCTTGTATATCTCACGATCTTGAAAATTGAGAGAGTTTGGTAGATAAGACTATAAGTATTGAATTTATACATATTTGAACATAGTTACTTTGGTTTTAACTCCAGCTGATGTACCGATCATGTTTGAAAGTACTTTCAGGACTGATTAAACGGTTCCAATTGATACTGTTCAATATCCTTCGAATGAGCCGGTGCAACAAAATTAAATTCCCACCGCTCTCCTATCAATATTTTGATAACGTTCCACGTTTATGTTGGCATGCAAAATGTACTACTTTAGTCACTTGACTTCATTAGTCTAAGATCTTGGTTACTTAAGGGTCTTTGCATCTGTAAAGTAAAGTCTTTATAAGATGTAATCTAGATTGAAATTAAATTTAATGTGAAAAACGATGGTCTGAAATAGCCAGGTTGCCTATATTAGGTGACTTCATCCGTAAAAATACTCTTGCCTGATATTCTAACCATGTTATATTACTCATGAAACTTTATGAAAGCATAATCCATATTATCACAACTGATCAAATGGTTACTGAGGATTGGCTGATGCCTAGTGTTGACCATAAAAAAAATATTCCATCACTAACAATCTAGGGTCCTTAAACATAAGCTTTTGATCACTTCTATTAATTCCATAAGCTATTTTCACACATTCTCGCTGCATACTACTGAAGATGGCACAGGTATTCAGGTATTGACAACGCTTTTACCAGTAACACCTTCGAATATGAAGCGTACCCACCAAGAGAAATCAAAAGACAGAATCGAGGGGATCGGAAAATATATTTGTTGACTGTCAATATATCGAGAATCGTTTGGTCTAATCTGGCTAGCGATTGCAGTGGATGTTGAGCGCGGCGTTCCCACTCGTGATCTGGTGCGAATGCATGACCGAGCACCTTGAGCTAGGTGAGTCCATCAAAACATATGGTCGACATCCAATGTCGAAAACTTACAGAGCTTTTTATTTTGGGGATTTATTTACCGTTACACTACAATGTGCCTGAATTGGTTACTTTAACATTAAGGTAACGTAGCGATTTGTCAATAAGTATCTGAGCCAGTTTCCGTTTCTCGCAAAATCCTTTAGCTAAAATTTCTAGTGCTTTCTAACACTGACAAGAGAGGAATAACTGTTGTAGCTGTTCCATTGCGTCGCTGATTCAGCCTAAAACTGAGTCCGAATATTTCATTATCGATACATCTCCCGAAATTCTTGTAAGAAAGATAATGAACGAAGTTTAAAACTCAACATGTCTAAACTACAACAAGTAGACAAATAATATAATAATTGAATGGGGTTACTACAAGTCACCTCCCTAGGTTCATTGTTTGTCTGTCAGACTATGTATTGGATAATACTCGGTATAATCTAGAATACACTCATTAGTAATAGAATTAGCAACTGAAATTGGAACCCACTAACCTGTATCCGGGAACTGTATATGACCACAATGTCGATTGTGCACAGACGTTCCAACACTATACTCTCCTAAGTAATAATATTGAATCTTCATATTCCCAGGTTAGAAATAATGTGGCTTCATTTAAAACATATTTCTCACATTGATTAGAGAATCCATCAGAGGTGTCACCATGATAAAGATAGATAACAATTGATGTGAAATCATCCGAATTGTAGTCCAAATCGAGCTCATTAAGTACTCGTGCCTCGAATTGAACAAGATTCCCACATGAAAAAAATGCATTATGAGGACAAAAAACGTTTGATATGACATCAGAATTCAATTGTTTTGCCATATTTTCCTCAAATTTATTAAAACTATCATTGGAAAAATCATCATCTATCAGATCTGTATATAGTCTTAGATCAAGATTTGATTCATTCAACATATTTTCATCATACTTATGAAAAATTTCATCAGAAGTATGTGAATTATTAGGACAACCCATATTTGGAACTATAACGTGAGAAATTCGATAAGTTGATTGATTAGAAACTTTTGTCTAACAGGGATCCTGACTTCCATTTGATTCTGGACTGTGATATGACTCTACACTGCTTTTCGAAATCATGGGTAAACATAAATGATTACTAGAAATACTCAACCTAATAGGATCGGAATTACAACTTTAGCACTACTTACAGCGAAACGAACAGTGGTATTGTAGTGGCATTGGACAATAGCCACACAATCCACAAAGCTGTGAACACGAGACTACTCAGAAAATAGATATTCAATATTTAACTCGGGGAAATACCTAACAATGGAGAGGCGCAGAGAATGAATTGAATGGACTGAGTTGATCGAGTGGCATGGCTCGGCCATGCAGGCGTGGTCTCTGCTGAATGTTACCTTATATCTTCTATTCATATTAAATATATTGTTCTTTCTCTAGCCTAACCTTGTTCTACATCATGTATTGATAATTGATACGATACAGTGAGTTGGTGTAGTCGATGGTGTGACTTCCACGTAAGATCTTATAGATTAGGCAGTTATATCATGACGAATCTACAAATTTAGAATTAGGTCTAATATTAGAGCAGTACTAATATCATAGTAGACCATAATTCTACATTGGTGAGCCCAACTAAAGAAACGCAACCCATTATTGTTAATCCTTATTTCCACTTTAACCTTCTCAATCGGAATTTATTTTTGTAAACCCACTATTCTAATAGTCCTTTGATTAATGGTCACATATATTATTGTAATGTTATATCTATTAGTTCACATAACTTACTAGCTCATTCGATAATAAAAACTAGTCGTCTATATTAACTAATTAGCTTTGATGGTTCGTTAACAAGCTTTAATAGCATTTACATGCTTCAGCGACATAGGCTTGTTTAAACATCAAGCTCTAGCAAACATGACCAGTAAATAACGCAAATATACATCGACTAACAATGCAGCAAGGACTAAATAGTTACCTGGATCTAATTCTCAGTGTTCCTTCACTTAACACCTCATCCTGTTTTAAACTATGCACTATCCTGTAATATCTCTTCTTCCGACCACTGCCTGCCTAATTTCAAATTTTCGAGTTCCATTGCCAAACAACAAGGATGACACTTCTCTAAAAACATACGGTGATTTTCAGCCATAAGCTTTCTGCAATCATAAGGTCATTTTAGATGGCTCGTTCAATGGTGACCGCACAATTATCTGGATTCATTCGGTTGTTCTGATCCGAGCGAGTGGCAAAAACGTCAACAGCATCAAGGACTCTGGAATTAATTGCCATACTGCATGTTTTATCCTGGATGCTTTTGGATCATTACTACTCCTTACGAATGGCGTTATATATGTCGTCCACTGGATAATATAATTTTCAAAAATAATCCAGGCGAGTTCAACTATTTTACTTAATGATTTTTTGTACTTAACATGTATATGCTTTCCGGTTCCTTTTGCTATATATTTGTAAGTGTCCCTAGGCTAAATGCAGTAACTTCTTATGGAATGTTTATAACGCGTTACATTCTTGCCTGAAGTTTCATAAGCAGTCTTGACTTTAAAATTACTTTTCCTGGTCATGTTCATTATTTTTAAATTTTTATATACGTCAACAACCTGCATGTTAACGTGGCCCGTACATACGTTACACTATATCTTCATATCTTTTGAATTTAGAAATCATCTGAATCGCCTTTAACATTTATCAATAAACCCACCATAGTCGTTGTTGCTAATCGTATTTGGGTTTATGGATTGGTTTATCATAGTAGTAGCCTAAAATGCAAACATACTTTAGATAATAAGATTACAAATTTAGGTACTTTCAACTGCACTTGTAAAATAACTAAATCCCTAGGTAGCTGTTGGCTAAATAAACGTTTAAAATCAAAACTCCGTAGCCTACTAGAATTAACACTAAACGAATCTTTCTGATATAAAATTTATAATTAAATTAGGCGTCTCAGATTCTTTAACGTTACAAATTTCTGATAATTTCGAATCACCTAAAGCAACAATACCTATTTTTCCACTGACTCATCCTCATTCAACACTATAACTAGTTAAACATAATAGTTCCAGGATATCGTCATAAAGCATTGTCATGACTTGACAATCACGTAATATGATTGATAAAATTAATGAAACTATTAACAAAATCGATCAGCAAATTGACTTATAATTATCACTAGTGTTGTTTTTTCTTTTATCTTCATTCACTACAGATGATTACAGTAGGTTTCTCTATAAGTTGCTCATTCAGTAAATATCTCAAAACTTTGTCAGTCTAATTGATGGTATAGCGACACAATCATGCATGCAAATAATCAGTATAAGCAGTCGAGCAAATCTCCTGCAAACTGAAAACATCAATGTCGAATTTACCCCAACACTGACTAAGGTTCAAGCCATTATCATAGACATGAGTTGGGAGTGTACTCCCCCTGGTTACAACTTATGTTCTCCCTGATAATCACATGAGCATCACTTACCATTATTCATCTTGTAAAAACTTATTTAGCTAAATACATCTTGCAATACCACATCACTTCGTAATATGACCCATAGGCTTAACTGATTTTAATAACTTATAACCACTATATCTCAAGTAAATCGTATTCCGCCTTATAATAAACTGCATACTTGCAACTAACTTGTATGCCCAATCAGCCGGCAAGTATAAATACAAATAAATAGTCTGCCACAGATCAGAACATTGAGTCTAGAGCATGCCTCTTACGAATACACTCATGTTTAACGATTTGTTCCTAGCTATCTGTCCAAAATTCATATAATCATCACTTACGTATTTAAATTTTGTTTTGATAAACATTCATGTGTATTAGTAGTATTACTAAATTCTATCACGGTCAAGTAAAAATGAGGTTGAGAAAATCTACCCGTAACTAAATAAACCGTATCAAACTGACTGGAACACTAGTTGGAATTCTTCTCCACGGTATACTTTTGTTCCTTCAGTTAGCCTACTAATACAGATGCAATTGGAATTCAACTCTTATGGACAACTTACCGGCATAATCGTTATCTGATTTCATAATTTAAACCAAAAGTAATACCAATATTAACATTTCTACAATATTCATTATTTTAATATTTCTAAACACAAAATAATTACTGCCTATAAGTTAAGTTAATAACACGCATCGTTTTATTATTATTATTATTGTAATCCCATTTTTATAGTTCAAATAATCTTCAACCAAATTTTCATTTTAAGCGTGTTAATCATGAAAGCAGATATTTTAAGATTATTACATGTATTTCCCGACCAGATGCTGCCGTCTTTTTGATTTATCTTTCAGCTTATCAATACCTGGAGGATCCTTATTATCCTTGGTAACCTCCGGCGCGCGACGATCCCATCCAATTTGGTATCGAACCAACATCACGTTGATTCTGGTGGGAGAGTAGTGTAGTGGCATTGAACAATAGCCACACAATCCACAAAGCTGTGAACACGAGACTACTCAGAAAATAGATATTCAATATTTAACTCGGGGAAATACCTAACAATGGAGAGGCGCAGAGAATGAATTGAATGGACTGAGTTGATCGAGTGGCATGGCTCGGCCATGCAGGCGTGGTCCCTGCTGGATGTTATCTTATATCTCCTATTCATATTAAATATATTGTTCTTTCTCTAGCCTAACCTTGTTCTACATCATGTATTGGTAATTGATACGATACAGTGAGTTGGTGTAGTCGATGGTGTGACTTCCACGTAAGATCTTATAGATTAGGCAATTATATCATGACAAATCTACAATTTTAGGATTAGGTCTATTATTAGAGCAGTACTAATATCATAGTAGACCATAATTCTACAGTATTACAAACTGACTGCATGTATCCCATTTTACAACATTCAAAACACTTGGCATTACGAACTATACACGAATTACATGAGTAAATTTGGCAAAGGACAAATATCTACCGAACTTGTTCTCATTTTCGTGACCTGCGACTCAATGTATTGAATTGCTTGATCACCTGACAAATCATTTCATGGATGTTTTTCCTTTTTCAGGATTTGAAATTTGTACACTTTACATGGTCAAGTAGTAACTCATTGAGAGTTGCCTAAGGAAGTGAAAAAATTTTTAATAAGCTGCAAGGTTATTCTCGGAATAATATAAGGAAATAAGGTCTATTATTAACATCCTCGACATCTTCCTTGGTCATAGTCCAGACTTTGAACGTTCCAATATAATCTTCAAAAGCTCCAGAATTTGAATGCATGTTCAAACGTTTCATCACGACACTTATGTAATGAGCAGAAGTATTTGAATGGTTCTACGAAATGGGAATCTTCGAAAAAAGTCAATTTATAATTTAGGTAGAACTATGTGAGCGCAAACGAACGTATTGTGTTTTGTATTCGAAATCTGGCGGCCACAAAGTAAAAAAGAATCGTTAGCTGACACACGCACCACAGTAAGAGTGAGATCAAGAATCAGTGAATGAATATTACTTGTTTCCCGCATAATGAGCACATTTGGAGAACAAATATTATCTTATCGACAGAGCAGCATACCTATTTTGTAGACCGAAGAGGTTAATTAAGTGGTCTACGAGCGTAATTTAAAATTATATCCGAACGACCAAAACGTCTGGTGTAGATAATCATATGGAATACTCTACCAACGCAGAGGACAAGATGTAATAATTTATACAGAAGTACGCGATAGATATAGGAGTGCGCCAGACTACACAACTTCCTGATGGATTGCACCGAGCTAGGAGACTGTTCAAGTTCCCCATTAAACTTTATTAACCACACTATACTCATTAATTTAATTATTGTGAAGTTTGTCTAGAAATCGTAATAAATAACGAAGGACTGACTGATCTTGGCCCTACGTTGTAGATGACTGACTTTTATTTTTATACGTCCTCTATACTAGACTGGTTTGATGGCTCTTTTTTGGATACGGTTTATAGCATTCCCATCCTATTGGAGTGAGCTAAAGAACACGGGGTTGCGATATGTAATAAAGCATTCTACGCAAATACATCAGTACTGACTGTGAGATTTATCTAACGAAAAATACATGAAAAAGTCGCATTTTAAAACTTTTATTTATAAAAAAACAATCACACTTTTCACCTTCAATAAAGTATGGTAAGTGATAATACTGACGAGAATGTCTCTGTCAGACTAGTGATCAAAACAGTAGTTTGACGTTTTTCATAATACAGAACAAGTAAAAGTTAGAAGAACAAGATTGAATTCACTGACATTCTACGAGCATACGTAGGATCATACCTAGATAACATTTGTAATATGCAGCTCACAAAGCTTAAGTTAAGATTACAGTAACAATAAAACAGATAGGCGTGTGAAATCTGCAAAGTGTACTAGGAAATAGGTCAACAAATTATCAGTCAATCTCGAATGAATTTGCCATGTTTTCAGTTAAATTTATTCAATGCGTAACGAGTCCCCACACGACGTGCTGAGTGAAAAAAATAACAAGAGAAGAAAATTAAGACATAATTAATATTGATTTTCAAAGGAAGCAAATTGTTATTCATGTACGGTTTAGGTATACAATCGTATAATTCACAAGAAATAATGCCAACTGCCGATGTTACAAATGTATGTGATAGGTAGTAAATGAGAGATCTACAAACAATCACCGGTCCAAAAGAAGTACTCAGTTAAAAGAATCTCTAGTTTTCCATTAATAAATTTGTTCTAAAATAAGTGAGCATGTCAAATGTAAATAAATATTTAAAAAAGGTCAAGATAGTACATAAACAGGATACCAAAACCCTACGAAATATATGTCAATTCTGTACAAACATTAAGAGCTAATATGTATATGAATGAATAAATAAGCAATTCAAAAACAAATAGAAATTCTTGATGTCAATAAACCTGTGACTATTTTTTTAAAAATATACAGATATACCGGTAGATATACTGAAGAATAAGTGCACTAAACAGGAATAGGTGATCTTACAAGCAAAACAGTAAAATAGTGCCACAAAACACGTGGTTAATGTTAACACAAATCTCTTTGTTAGTGTATTGAAATTATTAATCTAAATAAGAGACATACACCAAAAAAAACCGGCACTTATATGATGGTTGAAACTGTCACAGATTACACGACGAAAATAACAGAAAACCTACACCAAAAATAGATAAATGGTGGGACTAATAGTAAAAGTCAAAGGTACAGATAGCAATAGAGAATGAAATGAAATGAGAGAACTGAGACAAAATCCATGGCGAAAAGAATAGAATGATATAGTGCTTAAGAGGAATATAAAATAGAGTGATATTTAAGCAGTGTGATCGAAATCAACCCATTAATTATATTAGTTCAATACAGTCGATGAATTAATTTAATGAAAAACAGTACTATTGAACAGCTCTTTTAAATCGTTGCCTAACAAATTATAATTTAGTCAACATAAATGATAGTCTGAGTCATTTAGGAGAAGATCAAAGGTAACATAGACTATACTCTTTCCAGCAGTAACAATCGACCTAATTAGATAACAGATAAAAAAATAATGCATTATAAGCCTAAAATTGACCCAAAAAATTTGTATACAAGATCACAAGCTACAAAGCGCATCTAACAAACCATAAGAAAGGAATACATTAACTAAGGACTAAACAAACATTGCATATGTTTGTTACAAATATTCACTGTTTAGTCAATGTAAAGGAAATTCAATATCAACCTGAATAGCTCAGTAATATCAGCTGGATAGAATCCTGACAATTTTATACCTTTATAGGACTTAAACGGGAATAGACATGTCGGTCTACTTTCAACCAATCATAGCTGTTAGGCGAATCAGAAGGATGCTAGGAGATTCTTTTGTTAACTCCACTGTTTTCACCAGTGTTTCGTTGTCCCTATTTTAAGAATAGATATCTTCCAGTTTCAACTCTCGTTTCGATTTTGGAAGAGTCAAGTGAAGCATCGTAGTTGAGGAATACTACACAGTAGAAGAGTATAACAAACATTAGGTAACTCGGGTTCTCATCTCACAGACTGGGCTAGTTCCTCCAAGACTGCAAGTTAGCCTAGAAAACGACGAGTGTAAAACCCGGGATTCAATACACTCTGCCAACTGATCCATAAACACTAAACACATTTAATTTTACCACACCCACATCAGAATAGGGAAGCACATAAGTAGCTTTACAAAGATGGTTAGTTGCTTCATAGTCTAAAAGGTTAGTTAGTATTTGGCAATCAAATCTATTTTTGCTATGCGAAATAGGATAAATATGGTAACTAAAATCAAACAACATCGGAAATCACTTCACACAAAATAGACATTCTGAAAAATCTTCATAAAAAGTAAACATAAATCTACGAACATTATTAGATTCACTGCAATCATTTCCCTTACAAACCGAATTTATTATGATTAGAATACAGTATGTGTTAAACATACCTACCTTTGAATTAAACAAATGCCTGGCGCCTCGCTAGAATTATCATATTACATATACATACACACATATTGTTTAATACATATATATATGCATAGATTTTGCAAATTTTTAGTTTTACTCAAAGGATAAAAAACAAAACCAAAGAAACCCTAGCAGAACACGATGAATTAATGTTGATATTTCAAGTGTTCGAACCGTCCAAGTAACTTTTTAATTTCCTCTATTCAGTTACGTAATTTTTTGTTCCATAATCTCAACAACAGATTACCATCCTTTATTCACAGTTTTTTTAGCTTTACTCATTTTACTATGTTAGTCTATTCATTTTTATGGTCATTATTACGTAACTTTGATATCGATTTTCATTCTCTAGAAATGTCTCCATATTATTCAAAAAAACAAGTTTTTTCTTGTAGGATTTTTCCACTGAATAATATGTAAATGCTCATCCACTCTATTCATATTTAATTCTTTCATAACTGTTATCATCAATCTACTAATCTTCACTAATATGACATAAAGTATGTAAATTGATTGTAAATATATATTACTACTTTTTCTAGATTGTAAGTAGCTTATAAGAAACTATGAAATAAATGAATCCATTCTATCTACCAAAGCATTTTTCTTGCTTTAATCAAATCTATCAAAATGGGAAAAATTATACAAAATATTTCACTGAAATCATGATAACAACCAGGTACTCGTAATGAGAATACTTTAAAAGAAATGTTAATTGATAACCAATGTTAATCATAATATATTCCATAAGAAAAAAACACTTCGTATATGAACTATACAGATATTTATACTGCTTGTTTCTCTGAACTTTCATTTATTACCGCTATGGACATTATTAAACTGTACTTTGAACCAATACTCGGTCATAATTGATAAGTCAGTCGTTTAGGATATAGTCTAATGTTTCAGATGTAGCAAACAATCAGGCATAGTGGAATCAGAGAAAAAAACTATGTTCATAGACGCAGCTTAAGCAATTCAAAATAAGTAACGAGTAAATGTGAACAATGTTCTGTCAGAACATTTGGAAATCTTGTTAACAGCCATCGAAAAAATGTGAACAATGAATACTGATATGATGACCAAGGATTTAATTGGCCAGAGTGTGAGTAACTAAACCATTGATTTCTCCCAGTCCTTATGGCATACAACTACATCTTAAGTAGTTATCATGTAACTCAGTCTATTAATTATATTTGTTAGCTATAAACGCGTAAGTGTATGATAATGTAAATGTGTTCACAAAGTTGTTATTTAATCGATGTTAAAAATGTAAATAAACTATATAAGAAGAAGTGTATTCATACACAATTTTGAGTTATATTAAGGATCAAATAAAAACCTATCTATCGCTTTTTGAGTTCTTACTTGCGTTGTTCAACTCATGGTCTTGCTCAAGCTTTCCTGCTTCGTTTTTTGCGCCCGGGCAGTATTCCAGCAGTAGAACGGTCTAACCAAAAGAACCTAATAACGAACTCTTGTACTATGTTCTATATTTTATTTGTTCATGCACTTGTTAAAAGTACTTTCTAGTTGTGATTATGATCAAAAGATTAACTGAATATATGCATTTTAACCGACCTACGAACAGCGATTGTTATATTAATGGCAGTAATTAAATCGCATTCAAAATGAATAAAACACACCAGCCCGATATATAAGTCTCATTGTTGTCACCAGCTTTCATACATATCCCGTGTTACTAAACCAACACATATACTGGCTCAGGATGGAATAATCCATCAGAGAGTACCAGTTCCCTCAAGATTATAGATAAACCTTGTTGACGAGTTCCAAATCGCACCAAACATATGTTCATGGTTTCCTGTGTCGACCACCTTCAACCACCTATCAGATGTAATCTGTTTATGGGTAAATCATATCAAAACAAAGTGTAAACCGCATATGAAAAACTTTTTCCAGGAAGATGAATAATTATACCTATGGTTAAAATATATTAACAGACGATAACTAGCTAGTCCAATAAAGAGAGATTGCATACTACGTGATGAACTGAATCAACAATGCATAATTTAGAACAAACGTTACACTACTTACTTCCTTGATACGACTGAGAACCTAAATAGAAACCAAAAAATGACATTAGAATTAGTCTAATCACATGCTAACTTAAAAGATGAAGAATACATAAGTATATACAAGTGAAAAATAATAATCACAGCACGAATACAATATACAAGGCATTTAACCGAGACAGTTTGAATATGAGTGTTAATTATCAAATAATAGTATATAAATGAGCGAGAATAAGTGGGAGAATTTTAAGAATGATTAGCAGTACTGCTTTTATCCCCTTTCATAACATCAAATCTCTAAGAGATCCTCTGATCGATTTAGAGTGAAAGGATAAAGACCTGATAGACATACACTATACAAGATGAAAGATCATTTGAATGAATTCGGTTGTCAACAAATTCATACTGAAATCTAGTTTAAAAATACACATGGATCTCAATAATTTTGCTAAGAAAATAAGCTGCAGTAAACTAGTTTGTGACACAAGATACTTGTTGGTTACTTTTAGTCCGGAATGATATAACAGATACGTTAGAATACATTTAATTACTCGTAACTGTGTTATTATTCATACTGAGGTCATTGAAATCAAACTACTGAATTGGAAACTGTTGGGTCGGCTTCTGGAGAACTTCAACGGAGCCTCCAGAGGCCCAAAAGGAGCCGAAGAGTCCTAGCCAATCAGAGTGTGATGGAACGTTCCAGAATTCCAACGTGGCGTGCTACTATTGGTCGGTAGCATAATGTGTTGTTATCGGATTGGCTGTAAATTGATGTTGATTTAACAGACGCCAAAATCTATAAATACCCATGATTTTCTGTACAAGAATGAACCTTGGAATAAAGTGCTTTCTCTCATTCTTGTGTCTTCTCTCTGGAGTTTAAGTCGCTGTGTAGTTCTAGACTGCGGGTTTCGGAATAGCTTAGGAATCGTATATAGCGTTCAACCTACACGACTTATCAGTGGCGACGGGGATGAAAACTTCAATGAATATTTCCTTGGAGCAATTAGAAGCTTATATGGTGCGTCAAGAAAAGAGGTTTGAAGAGTCCCATATTAGAATCATGGAAACCCTGATGCAGAAATTCTGCCTGTCCGAGAAAAACCCTGCTTCTAGTGAATCTCAAGTATCACACACTGATTCAGTCATTAACGCCATCCATGAATTTAATTTTGATGGTGTAGCAGGTGTAACTTTCGAGTCGTGGTTTAAGAAGTATGAAGATTTGTTTTATATTGATCTTTGCAAACTGGATGATGCTTCAAAAGTCAGAATACTTCTTAGAAAACTTGGGACTATGGAACATGAACGCTATAGCAACTTCATTCTTCCGAAGAACCCACGAGATTTTAGTTTTGATGACACAGTCAACACCCTATCCCAAGTATTCGGAGAACAATCATCTCTATTTAATATCCGTTACCAGTGCTTAAAGTTAACGAAAGAACCAGGAGATGACTGGGTGAAGCATGCAGGAACTGTGAACCGAGAATGTGAGAGATTTAGATTGTCGTCCATGTCTGAAGATCAGTTTAAATGCTTAGTATTTATCTGCAGCCTGCGTTCACCCGAAGATGCCGATATCCGAACCAGAATCCTAAGCAAACTCGAACACTGCCCTAATATGACCCTGCAAGAAGTGACTACTGAGTGCTAAAGGTTAGTAAACTTAAAGCATGATACCTCAATGGTAGAAAACGGTAACTGTTTCCATAACGTCAATGCAGTCAAGAGAAAAGTCTTTCAAGGTTCCAGTACCCAGAATTTCCAAAATAACAGCGACAAACCATCATCTCCATGCTGGGCATGTGGAGGTTGGCACTATAAGAGGTTTTGCCCATATAAAGAACATCGTTGCAGCAAATGTAATCGGAAGGGGCATAAAGAAAACCTCTGCAGGAGAAGAAACTATAAACAACATTCCTTGAAACCTTACTCAAAGAAATACAGATATAGTGCTCCAGCCAACAAGATATTTGTATCACATAACACAGCACGAAGTTGCCGCCGAAGAAAGTACGTAACCTTGGATATTATTGAACACCGTACTCGCCTTCAGCTTGATACAGCTTCTGATATTACACTAATCAGCCCAGAAACATGGAAGAACATTGGAAGACCCACAGTTTTCCCAACAACACAGCTGGCACACAGTGCATCTGGGGGGAAGTTGAATATTGTTGGAGAAGTGCCATGCACTGTTTCTAAAGGTACGGTAACAACAAATGCAACATTGTATCTTACTAAGAAGCCAGCACTAGACTTAATGGGGTTGGACCTTATAGAAACACTTAAACTAGCAGATCATTCTATCAACAGTATCTGCAGACGAGTAAGTACAGACAACATCCCAGAATGGAATCAGAAAAACGCCATGCTACAAAGACATCAAAACGTGTTTAGAGAAGGATTGGAAGAATGTACGAAAGCCAAAGCACTGTTAACTCTAAAACCTGAAGTTGCTCCCGTTTTTCGACCTAAAAGACCCGTACCCTATGCTGCTCTACCAGTGGTTGAACAAGAACTAGAACGACTTCAGAAACTAGGTGTCATTGAACCAGTGAATTTCTCAGAATGGGCCGCACCGATAGTAGTAGTAAAGAAGATTAATGGTAGCGTCCGTTTATGTGCCGATTACTCAACCGGATTGAATGAAGCCTTAGAAACTCATCAGTATCCATTACCCTTACCTGAAGATCTTTTTGCTAAACTGAACGGAGGTAAGCTTTTTGCAAAGTTGGATTTATCAGAAGCTTATTTACAAATCCCTGTTGCTGACGAGTCTAAAAACCTGCTTACCATAAACACACACAAGGGTCTATTCCGGTATAATCGATTACCCTTTGGAGTCAAGACGGCCCCATCCATATTTCAGCAAATAATGGATACTATGCTACAAGATGTTTCAGGTGCTGCAGCTTACTTAGATGATATAATAATTATGGGAGTAGATAGACTTAGAAAAGAAGCTTGACCACGTGCTGACACGAATAGCCGAATATGGACTGCGACTTCGTCCAGAAAAATGTGACTTCTGTATGCAAAAAGTACGCTACCTTGGGTTTATAATCGATAAAGATGGAAGAAGACCAGATCCGGAGAATACCCAGGCAGTGAAAACTATGCCCAGACCGACGGATGTCCCCACACTACGATCCTTCTTGGGACTAGTTAGCCATTATGGAGCTTTTATTCCAAACCTTCATCAATTACGTGCCCCCCTGAATAACCTTCTGGTGAAGAATGTAAAATGGAGTTGGTCTGTAACTTGCCAAGCCGTTTTCGATGAAATCAAGAAAGTACTAGTCTCGGATCTGCTGCTCACCCATTACGATCCATCCTTACCCATTGTAGTGGCATCAGACGCATCAAACTACGGCATTGGAGCAGTTATTTCTCACATCATGCCAGATGGATCCGAGAAAGCGATATCACATGCGGCTAGATCGTTAACGTCAGCAGAACGTAACTATAGTCAGATCGAGAAGGAAGCATTGTCGATTATCTTCGCTGTCAAGAAATTTCACAAGATGATATTTGGACGTCAGTTCACCCTATTAACTGACCATAAACCATTACTAGCCATCTTTGGGTCGAAGAAAGGTATACCTGTATACACCGCAAACAGACTGCAACGATGGGCAACCACACTTCTGGGTTATGACTTCAAGATCAAGTACCAGCCCACTACTGACTTTGGACAAGCAGACGCTTTATCTAGACTGATCGGTTCACAAGTAAAACAGAAAGAAGACACTTTGGTGGCAGCAATCGAGACTGAAACAGAAGTATATCGAGTTTTGGAAGACGCAGTTGATGGTTTACCGGTTACTTTCAAGGCCATTAAAGAAGCCACGGAAAATGACAAGACTTTAAGAGAGGTTAGTGGTTATCTTCTCACCAAGTGGCCGAACCGTCGTTTTCAAGGAGAAATGCTACAATATTTTCGCCGACGGGACTCACTTATGATGGTCGACTCATGTATTATGTTTGGCGACAGAATTATTGTTCCAAAAGTATTACGCTACAAGGTTCTGAAACAATTCCACAGCGGTCATCCTGGCATCAATAAGATGAAAGCATTGGCTCGAAGCTACGCATACTGGCCTACGATGGATCAAGATATCGAAAACAGATGCCGCAATTGTTCATCGTGCCTACAAGCAGCCAAAAGTCCAAGCAAGTGTGAACCGCAACAATGGGAAAAGCCGAATAGTCCCTGGGAGAGGCTGCATGCAGACTTCGCCGGTTCAATACGAGGAAGAATGTATCTAATCATAGTAGACGCGTTCACAAAATGGCCACAAATCTACGCCATGGTGAATTGCACAGCCGGTGAAACAATCAGCAAATTATCCGACCTGTTTAGCTGCTTTGGAGTTCCGCAGACGTTAGTGACTGATAACGGTTCACAATTCACTGCAGAATCATTCAAGCACTTCTGCAACGTTAATGGCATTGTGCACATACGATCTCCCCCGTATCACCCTCAATCGAATGGCCAGGCAGAGCGCTTCGTGGATACATTGAAGAGAGCACTTCTGAAAGGGGGAGGAGAAGGGACAACCGGGCAGGTGATCGCAAAATTTTTAACATCCTACAGATTCACTCCGAACCCGAATGTTCCAGACGGCAAATCTCCTGCGGAAGCCATGTTTGGGAGGCGCATTCGAACCATCTTCGATGCCATGTTGCCATCCAAATTAGTGGATGAGCGCAGTCACGGTCCAAGTATCCGAAACTTCAGTGTTGGCGACAAAGTTTACATCAAGTCCTACGTCGGGAAGAACCGATGGGAGCCGGGCGAAGTAGTGCAAAAACTGGGAAGAGTACTGTACAGAGTTCGAGGAGCTTTTGGGACATGTATACGTCACACAAATCAAATCCTTAAGGATAAAAGAACGGTGCAGACTCGAAGTAATCGGCGGATTTTCCCGTTAGATTCAATCTTAGACGCACCAATGCCACAAACGCCCAGGAACAGTGAAAAGAAGCCTTGGACAAGGGAAACGACAAGAATAATGGGGCGCCGTCGCTGCC